TCTTGAATTAAATATAAATATGCGAAATCGTTGATTTTGTATGGGAAATGGGTGGCCCCCACTAGGGTGGCCCCAGTAAGGGTGTTTCGACTTATGGCATATATTGTGGGGGCCAACCTCGTAGAAGAATCTATCCCAGTCTCCAAGAGGAAGACCTATGCTCACTTTCTTATAGATGTACGGAGTAACTTCGCTGTACATTTGTCTGCACACTCGACTGAGTCCAATGCTTGGAAATGAGGTCTTGAAATAGTATAAACCTTGCTGGGCCCAGTCTGTTATACCGTCGGAGGTCCAGTTCATCTCATAGACTTCCTTGTAAATCATTTGCCGTACTTCCAGTGGTAGCGAAAAGAAGGTCGTCTTGGGAGTAGATGTTGGAACCTCCTTGACGGTGGAGAGGACCATTGTGTTAGGCGTCGCGTCTTCCTCGGGCTCGTTCAAGGAAAGTATAGCTTTTCTGGATTCGATGTCGCTGAGTTCGAGCGAAGCCATTTTCTTCTGGATGCCCATTTTGTTCTAGATTTTAGGACAGTTGTTCGGATTTCTGTAGTTTTAAGAGTTGAATATAACTGTTCGTTGAATATATGTGTTGAATAGAAAGGTGTGTGTGTTTAGGAGAAGGTATAGGGGTGTATAGTTTTATACCCAAGCCCGAAGAGTATGGGGGAAGGAAAATAAATAATTGTTTTGGACAGGAACTTTGTTTGGATTGTCTGTTTCTCAAAGAAAGATTAAGGCTGAACTTTGTTTCTGGCTTGAAGAATAAATAGATATTTGTTTTGGTCATGCTTAGTCCAATGATTCACGGTATTTGGACAATGGGAAGGAAATAACAGCTTATTCCTGGGCTCGCATGACGAATACCTTTTAGTTTAAAGACGTAACTTAAGACGTACCTTCCTAGGTAACCTTAGGTAGGTACATAAACACTCAAGATTCTTGTTGAATCTCGAGTCCTGTGTGGAACCATTTTGCATAGACCACCATGAGGTAGTGTGCGCAGCGTCGACGAGGAAGTTACGATGAACAATCACAAGCAAAGTTTTTCAGAACGACGCACGGCATGACACACGGCATCAGAGGGCAAACAAAGTTTGAAAATGTTCCATGAATCATGTTTATCTTGCTATCTGATATCCTTAGAGCTTTCTATTGTACATGTTATCTCTATAGGTAGGTACCTACCTAGATACGTTTTAAATGCGCCCTGAGACGAAATGGAACACACTTTGGACTGCTAGAGCTTAAGATATCAGTGAATTAAAATAACTAAAGGGTACCTAAGGTAGTTATATCGAGTAGGTAGTTGAGATAACTATAAATTCATATGTTTACTGTACGAACGCTTCCATATACGAGTAGTAAAAATAAATAGTGACAAGCTGGTTCTATATTCAACCTCCTTACTTACGTACCTAGATAGGTACCTAACATAAGTAACTATAGGTATTTATTATGCGGCTACTTTGAACTTGCCCAGATTGGCGAGGATTAGTATTGGGGAAATTCGCTAGAGATATATCGTATCTTGGTTGTGTTTATATTCTGTTTACAACATTTAAGTCAAGCGATTCCATTACTAGCAATTCCCTTCCTTTCCATTTTCAGGTACACACGCGTTGGTCGAACAATAGTGACATGGTTAACTCCTGAATGACATATCAATTTATATTGTATCTTCTACCAAAACTTGACTGTTTAGTTCTGTGGCTTTCCCATTGCCCTCAGCTTGGCACCATATGTCCATAGAAGAAAAGGGGCAGGCCACCCAATGACAACAAACGTGAGCGCAAGGACGCTGTTACCCCAACCATACCCTAAGTTCTGATACATCGCCGGCGCGAAGATAGGGAACGCGAATCCGGCAATACTGCGCAGAAACTGCGAAGCTGCCGACGCAGATGCGACATACTGGCGATAGGCGTCCATCACGTACGCCTGCATTGACTGTGTGTTGTTGATGATGCCGCAGCCGAGGATGACAATACCGAGATCAGGGACTATCCAGGGTAAATGCCTCTCTGCTGTCCATCCATATATTAACAGGCCGAGGGGGATAAGGATAGCTCCGGGAATCATGAGTGGTGCGCGATATTCTGGTGCAGTGTTGTTACCGGCCTTGGATTTTAGGTATGCCCACAAGCGGTCCATCACTCTGCCACCGGCCTGCGCGGCAATGGTATAGCCAATGACAAGAGCGATATAGTTAAGTCCGCTCTGTGTCTCGCTTTGCCCGTATCGCTCGATCCAGAGGGTGGCAAATGTCGACAGGACAAGATAAAGCATCCCGAAATTGTAGGCTAGAAATATCGCAACAACTTGTAGAATGGGCTGGGTTATAAGTAGCCGCAGAGGTCGGGTCAGAGAAACAGATAGCCTGCTTCTCAAGGTCTCAGATGCAGCTTGTGTCGCGGTATAGTAGGGGTTCCCCGTACTTTTCCGTAACTTAGCTGCCCTTCTATTGAGCAAGATGACTTCGTATGTTTCCGAAAATACAAATAACGCTATAATCACGAGAAGACCATCGTATATAGAGAGGATCCAAAATGTCCATTGCCACCCAATTGATTGCGAGACAGCACCTCCTATGATAGGCCCAAGTGCTGGTCCTAGAAGAGGAATAAATGTGGAAATTGCAAATGAAGTTCCGCGTTCTGCAGGTATCCAAGTGTCTGCAAGAACAGGATTGCTAATGGCGAACTCGGCACTAGCCCCGATTCCCGAAAGAATACGACTCGCGATGAGGATACCTGGTGTCTGGCTGAAGCCGGCGACGGTGTTCCACAGGATGTAAAAGCAACTCGATAGCATCCATACTGGCCGGCGTCCGAAAACCTCGGCAAGTGGCGACAGGACCATAGGACCAAATGCGAAGGCCAATACAAAGATAGAAAGGAATATTTGAGCCTCTTCCTCGTCTGTCTTGAGGTCTTCTGCGATGCTCTTGAGGGCTGGAGCCAGCATTGCACCAGACATGAGAGTCACCAAGCCTCCATTGGAAAGGAGGATGGTGATTATCCATTTGCGCGTTAGGGACCAATTATAAGGGTGCTCAGGATCATCATCACCATTCCAGGTTACCTATCAATAGTTTAGCAATTGTTGCCTAGGCATTCTATATGGTATCTCTATTGTTTATCGATCCTATACCCCGAGGCTGACGTTGCATTTCTGTCTTTTTCATTTGAATAGGAACGTTAAGTGGTTAACTTACCAATAATGGATCTATTTCTACTTGTGCTGAGTCGGCAACCGGCTCCACGGATTCGGTGTTGGCCGGATATTTTTCAGTGTCTTGGGTGGCCATGCTGTATACGATGCTCTATATGGAATCCCAAGGATAAGAGGAAAGGGTCTTTAGCGACAGGCACAGCTGCATTACCATTATACATATCATAATATATCTCGCTAGGATGTTGGTGCAAGGAGTCCAACGTATAGTACCTAACAGCTGACTGCATTGGTGAGATTTATAATCGTCCCCCTGCCATACATTGAACACCCGGGTAGGGGTGCCCCTATCGAGACTCCCTATCGAGATTCCCTATCAGGTTCGGGTCGGAATTATCAAGTAAGCAACCCGAGATATGTTGGAACAAGATCCAACATGCCTTCTTTCTGTCTATTAGTGGATAGGGGTCGGAGATAGGGGTCGGATCTTGGGTTGAACACGTAACGGCAAACCCAGGGTGCGATCTCGGCGCCGTGAAGATTGAATATTATATTCATACAAAAAAAACGGAAATCCAGACGACTACTCGTATTCCGTTGTAACTCCTCTAGTCTGTTAGTGGCACTGTAGATTAATCCACGCTTGCTCTAACAAAGAAGTTCCGGGAATAGAATCCTATTACCAGATGCCCGGACCCTGCCTTATCAGATCGCTCCCAGACATTTTACTGGTAGAACAGATTCACTAAAGAACCTTCTGACCCCACTACGGATGACCTTTTAAAGGTTACCTATACATAGGTATCCATAAGAAGACCGCTGTCGGGCCCGACGCGCACCGGCCACGCTTAGGGGTAGCTGCTCACCTCCATACTTGAAGAATGTACATATTATATCCTACCCTATATTTTCAAACCAAGATATCTCCTCCTCAAACCGACTACATAGGTAGGTAATAATTGACAGCCATGTTTATACAATTAATCTAACCGAAATCTATACTACTTTTTCTTCTACTTTTTCGTGAGAATATAACTTAAGTGTACAAGTAACCACCTAACCTAGTTAATGTTTTATATATATTTATCATTAAGCCGCCAGGTGTCAGCTAATAATGGTCAGTGCGCGCCGGGCCCGACCGTGGATATATGTAACCTTTGAAAGGGTCATCCGTATTCGGGCTTATGACACTTCAACTTCAAGGTAAGCTTCTGAGTCGCTAGAACCAACCGGAGATCGGAATACCGGAGTAACATTCCTAATACGGTAATAAGGAATAATAAACCGTCAAGGTAACAAACTCATCCAAGTTTAAGATAGGCTAGTTGTGTAAAGGAGCTATATCCCTTTGATGAACTAAGTAGATGGATGTTAAGAATCATATAGTGACAAGGTAGGCAAATAAAGATAGGCTCGAAGTTTGAGTTTAACGACAGATAGATAAATATGATTGAATACGCTACGAGCGACATCATATAAAAATAGCTAACATACACCAATCCACGATCCTGGTATCTCAAAGTTTCATCACCATCCTTTCATACACTACTGGCTTTTCCCAACACTGCTCTTAGCTACAACCAAGTCTCCGATAGCTGAAACAGGCACATTGCCCATGATATCGAAAACAGCCACGCTGGCTTGGAAGTCCCTTCCGATCCAGTTGCGCAGCTCGACCGCCATCAGGGAGTCGACACCGTAACTAGAAAGCGGCTTGTTCAGCTCTACATCGTCAGCCGAGATGGCCATAGAGCGTGCCAGCTTTTGCGTCAATGCGCTAATGACGATTTGGATGCGTTCGCTAGCATCTGCCGTAGATCTGAAGAGAGCGGCTGAATCTACACCAGCGTCCTTCGAGGCGCTCTTGGCCTCTCCTACAACGTGAGAAAACGGAGAAAATAAGGGCCTGGTTAGCAGAGACGGAGGTGTCTGACCCTTGACCAGGAAATCAGCCGGTGTGCGCAAGCCGAAAATGACTTGGCTACCGGTGGGCGACGGGACAGGCTCCGAAGGGTCACAGAGCACACTGAGAAGGGCCAGAAGCTCCTTATCGTCAATCTTCTGCATGTCGTCCCAGCTCTTTCTTTGACGCTGGTATGCCTCCGTCTCTGCTACAATACCGATGTTCCTCATCCAGCCGATATCAATCGAGACTCCCTTTTGGCCGTGCGCAACGCGGTACCGTGCGAGCGCATCTTGGAACGAGCAACCACCCGCATAATTAGACTGTGCCAACGCTCCGCACACACCGTTAAGTGAGGACAAGAGGATAAAGAAGTCTAGGTTCTTGGGTAGTAGTTCATGTAAGCTCAAGGCTGATTGAACCTTGGACTTAATCGTGAGATCCCACTGGGCGAAGGTCATGTTGTCGAACACGGCATCTTGGAGGACCATGGCAGCATTAATGCAACCCTTGACAGGCGGCATCGTGCGTCCAGCTTCTTCGAGTATCTTAGCAACAGATTCGGACGAAGATACATCACATGCAGGTGCGAAGACATTGACGCCGCGTTTTGCCAAGTCCGAGATGACTTCGGCGAGCACGGGCTTCGAGCTACCTGATCTTGATGGCACGATTAGGTACTTTGCGCCTCGCTCGGCCATCCATTTGATGATAGCGCGACCAAGACCACCGGATCCTCCGGCAATCACGTAGGATGCATTCTCGTCGAATCTCCACGATCGCCTTTCCAGAAGGAGTTGCTAGACCACACGTTAGTTTGCGTTTTTTGCCAATTGTTTTATTATACGGAATGCTTACCGGAACCACGTCAGTAGGCTCAACATTTAGAATGATACGTCCAATATTCTTTCCGCTCTGGAGGTATCGGAACGCCTGCTCGACCTTCGACACGGGGTAGGGGTGTAGCGGGCCAGGGTGCTGTACAGTACCCTCATTCAAGAGACCAATAGTGGCCTTCAGAAGGTCGTAGGTTAGCTCTGGGTTCTTAAGGATGACATAGCGCAAGTCAACAGCTGAGTAGCTGACGTTCCTGGCGAAGCCGGCCATAGGTAGCGATGAGTTAGCCTTGATATCAATCACGCCAATCTCTACAAAGCGACCAAATGGCGCCATGCACTCCCAAGTCGACCTCAGGCTATCTCCTGAAAGAGAGTTGAGGACTACGTCGACACCATATCCGTTGGTCACTCGCAAGACTCCTTGGGCAAATGAGGTGTTTCTGCTGTTGAAGATGTGATCATCGGGGATGGCGAAGGTATCCTTAAGGAATTGCCTCTTTTCATCAGATCCAACCGTAGCGAATATTTCTGCGCCCTTCGACTTTGCCATCCAAATTGCCATCTGACCAGTACTACCAGCGGCAGAGTGGATGAGAACCTTGTCGCCCTTGCGAACACGGGCGAGTTCGATCATGGAGTAGTAGGCTGTCATGCCAGGAACTAGAATCGACGCGGCGGCCTCGAAAGAAAGGCCATCAGGAATCTTCAGAACGGCCTTGTCTGAAGCGCGTGGGTGTGTTCGCATGCAGTCTATCGAAACCATGCAAACCCTGTCACCTGGCCGGATCTCCGGGTTGGTGTCGGGTCCTACTCTTGTCACGACGCCAGCACAGTCGACACCTAATTCGTTGTCTTCCAAGCGGCCCAAAGCGCACAGGACATCTCTGAAATTTAGACCCCACGATTTGGCCTCGATCTCTACTTCGTGCGGGAGAAGCTCAGCTTGCTGCGCAACGTCTTCCACAAGCTGTAACGAGTCTAGGGTTCCAGTCTCGCCAACGGCAAGTTTCAGTGACGGTCCTTCCGAGAAAGGCTTTTGCTTCAATTGCGGATATAGAAGAGACCGGAGCGTATCGTTACCGGAGATATCCTCTGCGACCCTGCCCGTAGTGAGTTGGCCGTTGCGGACAATGTATTCTAGCTCGCCGGTTTGCGATTCAAACGCCGCCTTATAGGCCTTGGCGACATATTGAGCATAGCCTTCCTTGGTCTCTCCTTGAGACTCAATCGCGACTGTGACGATATGCTTTTCGCTTTCTTCGTGTCTAATAGACCGCAAGAATCCGCTCATAACGCCATACTGTGAGTACTGTTTGTCTTCTAAGCTCGTCGAAGTAACCCACAGCAAGGTCTGTGCATGTTTCAAGAGTCCTTGAAGCAACTTGAACTTGTCTTCAGACAGCGTCGCGAGGAAAGGCTTGCTCATCTCAGCAATGCAAACCACAGTATCATCCTTGGATAAGCCTGCCGTTGCGACCTGGTCGAGAGCCACGATACGAGCCTGCTGATCTTGCGACTTAACAATGCTGGTGTGGATCAAGTTAGCCAGCTCGTTCTGCTCGTCCGACTGGTTATCAACAACAAGGACAAGTCCCGACTTGTTGGAGGCCACCTCTTGGATTTCTTCCGCAGCCTTCGATACAATGATACTGAAGATGTGACATTCTTCACTCTTGTAGTCCCTTAGGACAAGGTCGTTTCCGCTGAATCCTGTCCATTTCAAGACGTCATCCCACTGCTTCTCGGGTATCGCAGGGGATAGGCCTCGCCACTCTTCTCGACGACCCCACCATCCGGGCACGAGACCGAATGTGAAGTTTGTGACGACATCCTGAGGTGCAATAACCTCGAGGAGCAAGAGGTGTCCAGTCGGTTTAAGGGTAGTGCGCACGTTCTTCATCGTAGCCACCAGATCCTCTGTAGCGTGTAGAACACTTCCGGCGACGATCAAGTCATAAGAGCCCGGCTCGAAGCCTTGGCTTTCAGCGCTACGCTTCATGTCAAACGTCTTGAAAGTCATCCTTTCTTTGTAATCCTCCCATCGTGCCGTCGCCTTGTCAAAGAAAGCAGGTGAGACATCAGTATACGTGTATTCTGCGAACTTGAGTGCGCCACTCTTCTTTTCGAGTTCTTTTAAAGCGGCAATGACGCGGGATGTCATACCACCAGTTCCGGCACCAACTTCGAGGATGCGGAGTTTAGGGTTCTCGTGGGTGGCGAGGTCCAGGAATTTCAACATTCTATCGTCGCACACGTGCTCAAACATGTCCGCGTAGAACACATCGGCCAAGTTTGAATCAAAGATAACCTCTAACGGGTCTATTTCACCCGTCAGGATATCAGTTAGACGACGTACTACTGTTGTGTGTAGTTTCCATGGTGGGTGAAGGGCTTCAACTTCTTGTAGGAGAACCTCGAGTTCAGTTTCGCTTATATCTTCAGCTATCCGTTCGGCAGGGACTGACTTGATGTGGTGTTCAAGCCACTCTATATGCCTCTTCTGAGAATCCGGGACCTTCTGACCCTTCTCTCCGGACAGCAATTTCAACGTCTTGGAGACGACTTTGTCCAGGACGAAAGTCAGCTTCTGATGGTGAAGTAACATCGTGTTCTCATCCCTAACGAAAGTGTCGGCGTCGACTGCAGATTCGAGCTGCTTCGGTTCCATCAAGCTTAATTGTGGTTTCCAGTCGATGCTGTACAGCAGCTTCTTGCCAGTCTGGCTCCCCTCATTTTTTCTTGACACAACTCCGGTCACTAGTCTTTGCATTGTGCACAACACAGACCCATCATCTGCTAATGCGTAAATAGAACCCTCCTCGCTTTCTCGGCCGCCCTTGACTTCAGACGTCGCGAACCATTTGACCGAAGACGTCTCAGGTTGTTGCCATCCAGTCTGCGAAAACCATCCATCTACCAAACGTACGGGAACGTTTGTAGCATTGGATAAGTCCAAACCGAGAGTAGTAC